ATTATAATAATAGCTACAATGATTTGTTAGAGAGACACAATATATGAAATGTAAATTGTGATATGAAATTTTTTTTCTTTTTTTTGGAGAGGTTTTTGCTATAGGGCGCATGAAAGACAGAGAGAGACAGAGGTAGAAAGCGAGAAATCACCCCCCAGAGGAGATGGCCACGCCGCAATCCCTTTTCCTCCATTCTCCTCTTGGGTGGGATCTTGGGCACGCACGCACACGTGCTTGGCGTGAGTTTAAGCTACCGGGTCTGGACTCGAACCGCGGTCAACTACATGGGAGTCCAGCGACATAGTCATTGCACTAACTGCTGGTCCCCATGATAAGAAATTTTAAAAGAATTATTGTATTTAACTTTTTTTTTTAATTTCTTTTTTTTTTTTTTTTTTTTTTTCCAGTTTTACCAGAGAGAGAGAGAGGGAAAATGAGAGAGTCACCAGGTCTAGGACACAAACTGCAGTTGGCCACATGGGAACCCAGGGCATTTAACCACCACACATGCCACCTGCCAGCCACTACTTATTTGTTTTAATTTGACCAAAGGGGGACAGAGAGAGAGAGGGGGAGAGAAAGTGAGAAAGTAAGCCACCAGGTCTGGGACTTAAACCGTGGTTGGCCATGTGGGAGTCCAGTGCCCTTAACCACCACGTTGCCTGCTGGCCCGGTGATATAGAAAATTTTAAATGGAAATTGAGATGTAATAAAGTATAGACTTTTAAATGTGATCACAGTTAAGTTGTTACTAGCTTTAAATAATCTATTAAAACTATAAGATGTTTTCTTATAATCCTCATGGTAAACACAAAAGCAAAAATGGTAGATGTAGAAAAAATAAATCTAAGGAATTAAAAGCATAACCCTAGAGAAATATCTAGAGTTAAAAGAAAACTAAGAAAAGAAGAAAGAAACAAGAAGCTACAAAACAACTAGAAATCAAAGAACAGAATGGTGGTAGTAGTAAGGTATTTCTTCTTTATATCCACTTATTTTTTCCCTTAATCTTTGTGAAAGTAAGTTGCAGGTGTGATTAATCTTACCTTTAAATACATGAGTCTCGGGGCCAGCAGGTGGTGTGGTGATTAAGGGCACTGGACTCTCCCATATGGCCGACTGTGGTTCGAGTCCTAGACCTGGCGGGTTGCTTGCTTGCTTGCTTGCTTTTTTTTGGAGAGGTTTTTGCGTTTTTGCTACAGGGTGCGTGCGCTTGCCAGAAAGACAGAGAGAGACAGCGAGACAGAAAGCGAGAAATCACTCCCCAGGGGGGATG